GGCAAGCAGAAATCTAGGCAGATTTAACCTAGCTCTGATACCATGTTATAATTCAGGTTTGCCTTAGAGTTCGGCCTGACTGAGTTCAGTTATGTAGAAGAAAAAAAGGTGATAAAGAAAGAGAGAGAGAGAGAGAGAGAGAGAGAGAAAGAGAGAAGAGAGAATTCTGGTTCGAACTGAAAGAGTCAACTTGACTTCTCCCAGTCGGCCAGTAAGTATTTATATTATTATTAAAACATGACTGAAAAGACCTATGTTCCCTTACTTAAATTAAGAGCACAGGTTCCAACACAACATTACAGATCATCAACATCAATCAAGGTATAAAGACAGAAATACCCCTACGCTAACACCCTTCATTACCGTCCATGGTAATGGACTTGACCATATTCTCTCCCAAATGTTGAACGACTTTAAGCACCAAATGGATTGAATTGTCTAAAACCTCAAGTGTAGTCAAAATTGGGGGCAATTCCTCGTTGATCAACGACAACAAAGATCACTTGACAAACACAAACACAACCAATCACACCACCCCCATTAACTCATCAGTGATCTTGCCACTAAGGCCAACTTCCTTGGTCGATGGTAGTGATGGAGCCAACGGTGCCAGAGTAGCAGTAGAAGATGCATAGTCTACAAGACTACAACGCAATTGAGAAGGAAATCCTTAAGGGAAGGGCAAGATGCAAGGGATGGGGATGGCCTTCTGGGGTTGATGATTGAGGATCTTGACCCAAAGCGACATAAGGATGATCGAATAAGGAACGACAAGACCTACCGAGAAGCCATGGCTAAAGTTTGAAAACTAGGACCCTAAGGCAACTAGGGTGAGGGTTTTTGTTCTATCAATGGCTGTCGGTGCTGCAACAGAGACAAAACCTCATTGGGTTTTTTTTGGTTTCAGGAGCAAAAAAGAAGCCTATATACATAGTGGGCTCAGGGGATTTAAATCAATTAGTGTTGGGCCGAATGGAGGGTCCATTGATAGAGGAATTTTAGACCAATTTGTTGAGAGATATCAAGGAGTTGAGTCTACTTATTTTGAACCCAAAATCTTGAGGCACTCATTAGTGAAGCATGTGACATCGAATGGTGATGGAAGTCTTATAAACTGTTCAAATGGTTCACCTTCACCTTCACTGAGAGTGGAAGACAAGGAGAGAATAAGCGTATTGGTGGTCTGATATCTTTGAGGATGTTTGGTTCCACCGTTGTTTTGTGAAGAAATGTTTTGTACGAATTTTGTCTTGAAAAACAGGACAAAATGTTTCTTTTCACTTTGTGATGGCTAGGCGCCACACAAGCCAAACAGTAAAAAAATGCCTTACCATTGGGGGAAAACGTCATAATGGCATTTCCTCCATTGGGTGGATCTCACATAACCCAAGAAAAACATTTTCTTGATTAACAGCTTAACCAAACAAAATTTCAAACTCCACTGGGGGAAATGCCTATTTGGTGCTACACTAGTGCTAATTTTCTAATTAACGACAATAATACCAAAAACCATCTTAGTGGTTCAAGAGGTGGAAGTTTTTCATGGAGGTTGCAAGGAATCATTGGGGGGGGGGGATAAGGCAAAAGTAGCTCTGGTCTCAGACAAGGGTATGGTTATTACAAGAAAGTCAAGGAAGTTGTGAAAGCATTAAGTACAGTTTGACGGTTCAAAACTCAAAAAGGATAAAAAAATAACGTCAGATTCCGGTTTCTAAGGTGTTTGCAAGGTTAAAGGGAGGACTGTTTGGGGTAGGACCTAACAAGATAGTTAAAAATAATCCAATCAATGGAAGAAAAGAAGACCTCTTTCAGGAAATAGAGAAGAAGAGATATTGAATTGTTATCCAGTTTGAGAGGTTAGGGGCTCTGTTGGGCTGCTTGAGGGTTGTTGGGCAAGCTTATGAGATGTTTTTGGGTTTTGCTGTCTTTTGTGATGTATTTTTATTTGTGTTTTGTTTGGAATGCTCATGTGAGGGGACTTGGTAGAAGGGTTAGTCTTTGTGTTGTCAAGGGCATATGTGAGGGTTTCTTCTGGAATTTAGTCTTTGGGTTGCCTCTTCTCTCAAGGGGTCACTTATCACCTTTCTTGTATTTCTTTTTTTGTTTAATAAATTTTTATTTATCTTCAAAAAATATATTCATATACATATTATGGTGGTGCATTTTGTGATAAAATAAACCTACACTTCTACAATAGCTAGACAAGAAAAGTCCTATAAATTTTGCAAAAATATTGTTGTGATTATTACATTGTTGTTTATGGTTTATTTGGTTACATTATCTGTTTATTTCAGTCCAGTTTTCTATTTTGTTATGTATTGGGTGGCACCAGGGGTATATGATTCATTTCATGTAATTTTTAGTGAGAAATATAAATATAAGAAAGAGGCACAGGCCCACTACTTTTTGACTCTTCCTAAATTCTTCTCTCCTCTTCTCCTCTTTTCTTCCTCTCTACTCCATCTTTTAATGGCATGATCAATCAAACTACATTAACATTAACAAAATAAATCTCAAATTCTGAATTCCAAGTAATATGTTCTCCAAACAAGTAGTAAAACAATGGAATAAATCACTAAAATGTAAAATTAGATTGAGGAACTTACCAAATTGGGAAGTATATTATAGGCCTCAATTACTGATGAAGAAATCAACTAGCAAGTAAATAAAAGTTAGATCAGAAACAAAAATAGACAAAAAATACATAATTCTAAGTTCAATGGGTGAACCATATATCTTTTTTTTCATGATAAATAATTGTATGAATTCACCGGAGAGAAAAAAACACCATGCTGCACACAACAAATGGCAGAAGGCCTACAAGTATTTGCATTGATAGGTAGAGTAAGCTTACATGTTCTATCTTCATGGAAATAAAATATCATAGATTATCGTAGATATCACTTAATGACTTCATTTTCACCCTAAAACATACAGTAGATACTTTATTACAGTAACCTCCACTAAGGGCAATCCATTGCTTCAATAATTGTGTACCATATCAATTTGATTGATGTGACCAAGGTTCAAAGTATCGGAAATGCAAGGTGTATCGGAAAGACGATTTTAAGAGACGTATCGGGATACGTTTTGGATATGCAAGGATATAGATGAAAAATCAATATACGCATAAATATGTTAGGAAATTCAAATAAATCAAAAAAATATATATAATTAACAATACTTACAAGTTTTATATGATTGTAAATAAGTCATTTAAATGTAAAAAACCATAATTTAATCTTTACATAAAATGTGACATATCGAGATATAATTAGTTTAAAAAATGATGGAATAACCAAAATGTGAATGTATATACATCAATTTTCAAATAACCAATATAATTATCTTAATATTTATTAGTATATAAATTTTAATAATTAATTTCAGCATTTATTAATAAGCACCACTAAGAAAAGAGAAAATTGACTTAAAACTAAAAATGCATATAATTACAACAAACAAATCAGAGTGGTCTAGTGACCAGGGTTAATATTTGTAGTGTTTA